ATTCCTCTAAAAGCTTGTTTGCTCCTAAGGAAATAGAATTAAGATTTGTTCATTATGCAACATAGCTCATTTGCAGACAGTAAAGAATTGGTATATTTCATTACCTGGTTAAACTAGATTATTTGAATCCACTGTTATTACAAGCAACAAATTCTAGAATTTAAAATGTCACCTCAAAAGTGTTTTAATAACCTAAAAAGGTTATAAAAGAGATACCAAATGAAAGTTACTAGAAGTTCCCCAACCCAAAATGGCTTGCAGATCATTAGAGCCAGTTATTTTCATTTAAGACCTTTGTCAAATTCCCTGATGCAAAATACTGCTTATTTTGGGCTACATCTTCTCCTAAGTTCTGTGATCCTAAATGCTCCATTTGCCACCATGGTGAATATCTGCAGTGTTTAGCCAGGCAACCTCATAAACATTGAACACTGCAACCTTTTGTACCTTATGAGAACTGCAAGATGGAATACATTTTCATACATGACCTTCTGGCCCAGCTTTCCTACAGTGTTGAAGATGAGGACCTAGCCAAAATGGAAGAGAACCCTGATTATATTCCACATGGGTACGTGACTTCACTGGTCATGAAGTACTCACACTGGTGTCTTGGCCTGACTTAGAGCTGTTACCATAGTCAAGACCAGGAAGGTCATGCTTGTGAACCTTACCACTAACCTTGTGTCCTTGCCTCTCAAGAATAACTAGGCAGCCTTGTACCTTTATTCTAACACTCTCGACTTCTAGGTTAGTGAAGTGGAACTCAAATACTACCAGGCAGGTGTGTCAGATACTTAGAGTGAGAAGCAGTATTTCTCACAGATGAGCTAAGACACTGGTTGGTACTGAAAAATGATATCTATGCCTGATAGATTCCAGGGAGAACCAGAAGATCAAAGGGTAGTATTTTTTGTTGTTGTTCCTAAGAGGCCTATTGGCAAAAAACCCAACCATCTATGATAGCAAAGAGAACAGCCAGTTAGAAGCACTGATGTTCAGAACTCCTCAAAAGCTGGATTCTACCCCTGGAGCTTGCTTGAGCATCACAGGTCTTGTGTCTCAGCTACTGTCCTCTTGTGAACCCTGGTTTTGTCTGTCTGTGCTGTAGTATCTGCTCCAGGCTTTTGTCACAATCTTCCAAATAACTTACTGTTGATCATGAAAGAATACATGGACATAAACTTCTGTGCAAGAACCAAGAAACCTGGTGTCTGCCATGACAGAACCTTCCGAGTTTTGATCCTTGAGAGAGTAAGTAGTCAGTGTGAACCATCAAGTTAGACATCATACCTGTTTGTTCTTCTTTTCTGGAAGAGGTTATTTTTATAGCTTTCTCTAGAAGCTTTTCTAGCTCTCTAGACGCTCCTGTGTCCTTGATGCTGCTCCTTTTTTCTCCTTTCTCTGTGAAAGAATAAGTGAGGCTTTCTATCGTGTAATCAAAACTTGTAGATTTTCAGCTGGAATGATAGCAGCATGCGTGTACTGGAGGCACTTGAGAGTGAGGCAGGAGGATCAGAAGTTAAAGGCCAACTTCGGCTACGTAAGGAATTGGAGGCCAGCCATATGAGAACCCTGTCACAGACAAGCCCACACTGAAAGGGCTTAAGTGTGTTTTTTTTGTTGTTGTTTTGTTTTTTTGGAAAGGTTTCATTTTTTGGTTTTGTTTTTATTGGTTTTCGAGACAGGGCTTCACTGTGTAGCCCTGATTGTCCTGGAACTCACTCTTTGAACCAAGCTGGCTTTGAACTCCGAGATTCGCCTGCCTCCACCTCCTGGGTGCTGGGATTAAGTGCATGTTCCACACCTCCCAGCTATGGGCTTTATGATTTTTAAGAAAAATACAACTAGTAATTGAATCTCTACTTGAGGTGACAAGTGTTTAGGAAGGAAGGGTCTGGAAACTAGGTTTCTGTATAAGCAAGTCTTAGGTTGCTCCACTTAAAAGAACGGATTACTAGAACTAAACCTGCTTCTTGTCATTCAAACTCTAGGACACTGTAACAGTCCTCTTTGGCAGTTGGCAAATTAGAAGAGGAAGGAGGGAACTGGGGAAATAGTTCAGCGGATAAAGCATTTGCCCGAGTTCAGATCTCCCAGCACCCACATAAAGCCAGGCAAGTACAGAGCTTGTAATTGCTTAAAAGACAGGACAACCCCCACCCTCCCAGAGCAAGCTGCACTACACTAGCTGTATTGGTGAGTTTCATTTCAAGTGAGAAACTTCACTAAGTCCAGTATATAACGTAGAATACATTCAAGGAAAAGCCATATGTGTACATGCATATGAAAGAAAAAGAGGCAAAAAAGGACACTTCCCTGAAAAACCCACTAGATCACTTGCACATATAATCATCCTGGTTATACAACATGTGGACAGGCCAAGTAATCACAAGTCTTGCTCAAGAACCTAGCCCCAGCAAATCAGTCCCTTACAAATGATTTTTAAAGACACAAAACAAGGCCACAAATAACCAGGGTGAGCAAGGGAACAAGGCAACAGAGACACACCTACACCTACAAGGAAAAGATGACAGAAACATGTAGACAAAACTAAAAAGTCAATTAACATGTTTGAACAATGATTACAGAGAACAGTGAATTATGTACAAAATAAGAGCAGATTTAAGAGAAACTTTCTAGCTAAAAACAAAATTAAAATCCCTGAATATTTTGGCAGCAGTTTGGGTTTAGCAAAAAGAATAGAGAATTAAAAACATCATTTTAATGTTTTGTTGAGAAAATACAGAAAATAGAGACTATATTAGAGAAAGAAGGATGTAGGAAAACATACAAGTATTAAGGGAAAGAATGTTGGAGAGTTTTCAATATCAAACAGGAATAATAAAAAGAAGCAAGCCTAGACACATGGGAAAAAATCATTAAAAAAACAAAAAACAGTAAAACACCAGAACCCTGTGGGGTGTTGCCCCAAGAAAAGTAACTGCCAATCTAGATTGCTGCATTCAGTGATCTCAATGGTGAAAATGAAGGATGGGACTATAGCTCGGTTGGTAAAGTGCTTGCCTAGCATACAGAAAGTTCTGGGCTTAATCACCAGTGCTGCAGAAAACCAGGCATGGTGACCTATTCTGTAATCTTAGCACTCAGGAGACAGAGGCAGGAATACAGAAGCCCAGGATACAGGAGGTTCAAGTGTCTCAAAAAGATAAAGTGATGCTCTTGCCTTAGCCTTCTGAGTGCTTAGTTTAATAAGTCTGTACCATGTGCTCCATGAGAAACTTCCTTAAAATAAAAGATGTTTTCAGGTGGTCAGCTTTTTTTTTTAATTTCATCCAATCACTGGAAAGTTTTAAGGATGCCCTTCATCAGGTAACATTAAGCACAAATAGAGGGTGTCAATACTTAAGAACAGGTGCCAGGTGGTTTTGGCGCATGTCTTTGATCTCAGCACTCAGAATGCAAAGGCAGGTGGATCTCTGTGAGTTTGAGGTCAGCCTGGTCTACAGAGTGAGTTCCAGGACAGTGGGGATTACACAGAGAATCCCGTCTCTAACCCCCCTCCCCCAAAAAACAGGCAAATGCATGTTGTATAAGTATTGCTTATGCTACTCGGCAGTAATATCTGTAGGTCTAATCATATGAAATAACAGGAAATTTGTTCTTGAAGCAGCTAGAAATGGGACTTAAAGCTGTTGACTATTTCTGTATTATATAAGAGTAGTGAAGATTTTGGTTAGAGGTAGTAGTTTATGTCTTGCACCATGTGTGGGAAAAGGAGTTCCAAGGGACACACAACTCAGGGCTTTGTCCGTGGTAGGCATTTGATTTACTACTGAGCTTCATCCCAGCCCAGCATATATGACTAAGATAACCAACCAATAAAAACAATAGGGAAGTAAATAATTTGCAATCCAGTAGAGCAGGGAAATTTGAATTATACAGGTGCATATTAGATAGTTCATACTGCCCTCACAGGATTAATACTCTCTAACATTTAAACTAAATTTATATAACAACATGAGTGTGTCTACTGTGTCTGAAGGAGCAAGCCCTAAGAATGATACAGTATATAAATATGTAATTCAAGTTTACATATGAAGTTTATAACTAATCAGCACTAAACTTTATTTAATTTTTTTGGTGCAAATAAACCAAGGTACTAAATTGTATTGTTTTTAGTGGGTTAGTAGGTTGACAAATTTTCCCATAAATATCAAAGAGTGGAACAAAAGCCCATGACAGTCTGTGGTAGCATAATTGGTACATATATTTGATAAAAAGATTACTTTTAAAGGAAGGAGGAGCCAGATAATAACCATAAAAATGGGCTATTGGAGGAAAGAAGAGTCCTGCTCAACAAGAACTTGTAGAATGTGGGTACTGCTTTGTTTTGGTTCGTGTAGAGGGCACCTCAGTGTTCACTTTTTGTCTTTTTAAATTCCCAGTATTTTATGTGTGGGTGTCTGGTCTGCGTGTGTCTCTGTGCACCACATGCACTCTGGTGCCCCCAGGCCAGAAAAAGTTGTCTGGTGGCCCAGAACTGGAGTTGGAGACAGTTGTGAGCCACATTGTGAGTGTTGGGAATTGAACTCAGGTCTTCTAGAAAAGCAGCCAGTGCTTTTTACCACTGAGCCATCTCTCATTCTAGACCCCTATCCTTTAAATTTTCTGTAAAAATTATGTGACAATAAAGTAACACTTAAAAAATGTCAAATGCTTTCTTAGATGATGATTATCATTTAATTTTATATGGAATTCAGTTTGCATTTAAATTGTTCTGCTTATTTTCCCAAGGTTCCTATTAAAGAAATATACCTGAAGGAATTTTAATACTAAAACAAAGTTACATTTATTAAATCATCTTACTGGCTTTAAAGCACACTAACATTTAGTCAAAAGAAAAATTTTGAAATATTACTACTTTTTCATAGGATGTGAGCACTAGGTAAGGCAGAGATTGGGTTTGTGGCTTGCAGTTAACATCTTGGTTTATTTGCACCAGGCATTAACAACTGTCCGTCTTGAAAACCCTTTCACAGGCTCAGTAGATGAAGGAGTTACCGAGGGGTTGCCTACACTGCAAAGCACTTGTAGCACCAATGCTCACGCAGACGATGATGACAGGTCAGTACCTAACAGTGTGTCCTTTTCTCATGAAGATTGTCCTTGGAGCTCTACATTCTTTTTGCACATTTCCAAAATTGTCTAGTCCCCTTACCTTACATAGGACAATTGCTCCCTTTCCTGCTACAGTTTGGCTCGTCTTGTTCTAGATATCATCCATAATTCCGAAGGAATTGTCTTCATTTAGCTTCTGAGAACTATACATTATCCTTTTTCTTCATCACTTCTCACTTAGTCTCCCTGTATTTATATTTAATCTTTAAGTCCTTTCAACTCTATCTTCAAAATCCTTAGTTCACTTTTCCTCTGTACTACAGCCATGTTGGTTTAAGTCACCTCTATTTCTCCTGACTACCATAGTAGTCTTGAAATGAGCCCGTTTGCATTCTTCCACTTCTGAAGTCTGTTCCCCGTGTACTACCACATCATTTTTAACTAAGATGTCATGGTTTTCACTTATAATCTAAATTCTTGTTGGGTGGTGTTGGCACATACCTTTAATCCCAAGAGGCAGAGACAGGAGGATCACTGTGAGTTCAAGGACAGCCAGGACTACATAGAAAAACCCTGTCTTGAAAAACAAAAATAAATCTAAAGTCCCTGCTGTTTATAAAGTCCAAATTTAACTAACTCCCCTCAGTTCTTAGAACCCCCTTATTGTTCCTACCTTTAGTCCTTTGTATTTTACAACCTTTGCTTAAATGTTTTCTCCCCTGGTTTCCATTCTTTTGACTCTTCATTTTTTTATATAATTTTATGTATATGGGTGTTTTGCATGATACCTGCAGAGGCCAGAAGAGGGCATTAAATACCCTGGAATTGGGGTTTCAGATGGTTATGAGGCATCATCTGGTTGCAGGGACTTAAACCCAGGTTCTAGAACAACCAGTGCCTTTAACAACTGAGCCATTTCTCCAGGCCCTTCTTTGACTGTGACCTTCAGATCATTAACATGTTGGTTCTCAAGGAGACCTTCTCTGACTATCAGTTTAAACCAGCAGCCAGTCACTTTTGGATCTTCCTGATTTAATTCTCTACCTTCTGGTGCTTTTCTATGATTACTTATTGTTTATTTCTAACTACTGAATATAGATTCCACTGAATGAAGTATTCTTTATACAGAGTGTAGAACAGTCTTAATTACCTGCATATGCCGAAAACTTGAAGGATTCAAGATGTATTCTCTAGTAGCTAAACCTGGAAGTTTATGAACCAAAATCATTTCAAAGGCATAAATGAGCATGTGTCCTTATTCCTTAATTTTAAATAGTAACAAGTTGTCTATTCTTTATTAAACACTTTGCTAAGTAATGGGAATATGAGATGAAACAGCCTTTTCTCTTGAGCTCTGTTGTGTTTTCAGGGAAGGAACGAGATGGAAGATAGATAGGGAAACAGATCATCAAAAGTAATCTGCAAGGAGTTTGGGCTATATATAGGAAAGCATGTATTTCAGTGAGTCAGTGCAGGGTTTTAGGAAGAGGAGGCACTGGTCAGCTACATCTTATAAAATGAGTAGATGCTATCTAAGCAAAGAAAGTAGCCTTGTAGAGAAAATTCAGTGTGGGAAACACAGCATAGGGCACAGTAAAGGAATTATTTTACATAAAGTGCATTTTGGGGAGTGGGAGTATGACCAGAAATGAGGCTAGATATGGAAAGATAGAGTTCATATTTGAGTAGTTTTGGACACATTGTGGAGGTTGAGAATTTATTCTCATGAAGACAGTTATAGCAAGATTTAAGGGGAGGGGGGATGATACAGGCCTAAATTAAAACATGAACAGAAAGGAGGGAACTCAAGAGATTTGAAGGGTATCTAAGGTAAAAGAGATTGTGATATGTTCTGTGGGTTTTTCATCCCTACTTAAAGATGTGGGCATTTTGGACAGTAACATTGCTTAACAAATTTTTCTAAGTGAAAATCTTTGTAAAAGTCTTTGTTTTTCCTTTGTTTATTTAGAAATTGGGCTGCAGAGATGTGTATTCAACCTAAAAAATCAGAGCCTGGTTGCCTTCTTTGGTTTGTTTTTTTAGATTGGAAAATGTTCAGTATCCCTACCAACTCTACATTGCTCCTTCTACCAGCAGTACAGAACGACCAAGTCCAAATGGTCCAGACAGACCTTTTCAATGCCCAACCTGTGGGGTTCGATTCACCCGTGTTCAGAACCTAAAACAGCACATGCTTATCCACTCAGGTAATGTTACCTTTGATGTAGTTGCATACGGGGCATGCCAAAACAGTTCACTTTGCTATCCCAATTAAAATAGAATTTGTGCTGGGCATAGTGGCACATGCCTGTAATCCCACCACTCAAGAGGCATAGGCTGGAAGATCCAGAATTTGGAATTTGGGGGCCAGCCTGGCCTATATAATAGAAAGACTCCATCTGAGAAAGGGGATGGGCACCCAAGGAGCATGAAAGGAAATGAAGGCTGGGTGGGGTGAGGGAAGTGTATAGAGAACAGAAAATAGAAGTCCTGTAAAGTCCCATGAGACCAGGTTGGCTAGCTATACTCTCTTTTTGAAATGTTGGGAAACTAGCACATTTACCACAGGTATCATATCAGGCATTCTGATTAAAACTTAAAAGTATTATGTATGTTAAATACACAAGTTAACAGGTACTGGATATGTTAGATACATCTTTATAAGTGAGAAAAGCACAAATGAAAGTGGAGTTTTTAAAAACTACATTGGTGATTCTTTGAGTTTCTCTTTAAGTTTGAATTTCTTGCCAAGTTAAAAAAAACATTTAAAGGATTTCATATTTTCTTTTAATTCTGTCAGTCTCTGGTTTTGATTGGTCAGCTTTGCAGTACTTTTTTGATAGAAAAAAATGTTGGATATATGTGTAGGCAGTTCTTAGTGAAGCTTGTGAGCGGTGATGACATGAGGATAAACAGTAAACCTGACATTAAGGATGAGAGCCCTTTGCTGCTGCCTTCTGCTGTGTTCATTTCTACTTCTAGATAGGTAGGTCTTGTAGTCTCTGTCCTTGTTAAATCCACAGGTTGTGTTTTGCAGAGTTTTAACGCCTCCCCAACCCTCTGCAAATTGCGATAGTAACTGTAATGAAACTGTTAATATACTTTAGCTATGCACACCTTTAATCCCAGCTCTCAGGAGGCAAAAGCAGGTGGATTTCTGTGAGTTTGAGGCCAGCCTGGTCTACAAAGTGAGTTCTAGGACAGCTAGGGCTGTTAGACAGAGACCAAAACTCCCTTATTAATATCTAACAATATTAAATACCCCTAAGTTAATTCACCATATAATGAGCCTATCATGATCATTACATACAGAGATGTTAGAATTTTTCTTACTTCTGTCTAAAGCATTGACTTGTTTTCCTATTGCTGTGATAAAATACCTTGAGAAAATAAAGAGGAATTCAGACTACAGTAAGTCCATCATGACAAGGAGGTCATAGCAGCAGGAATTTGAAAGAACAGTCATTGATCCAGTGAAGAGTAGAAAGCGTGAATAATGCATGCAAGAAAATATTCACCTTGCCCTGTCTGTTACAGCAGTTCAGGGTTTGCATGCAAGAGAGTATTCATTTTGCCCTGTCTGTTAGTACAGTTCAGGGTTCCCTGCTCAAGGAAAGATCTCACTGGAATTAAGCTAGATCTTCCCACATTAACTTAATAAAGATAAACCCTCATAGACATGCCCAGAGGCCCATCTTCTACATGAATCATCACAGATAGATTTCACTGTAAACCTCTCTAATGAAATATATTTGTTACCCCAACGGGTGTCTAAATAGTAGTTTAAGTGTGTTTTCCAGCTAGAGGTTTGACTCCGTGGTAGGACACATGGCCTAGTGTTCACAAGGCCCTAGAGTGAATCCTCAACACTACAACAAATAAAATAGTTAATGTTCTACTTTCTTCTCCATTGCTGTGATAAAACACTCATGAAAAGAAACTTAGGAAGGGTTTATTTCCTCTCACTGGTCACAGTTCATCATTTAGGGAAATCAGGGCAGGGACTGATAAACACAAAAACCATGAGGGATGCTGCTTGCTGGCTCATTCACAAGCTCATACTTAGTTGTCTTATACAGCCCAGAACCATGCACTCTGGAGAGTGGTGCTGCCCACAGTGGCTTTCCTACGTCAATTAGCAATCTAGACAGTCACCCACAGAAAAGAAAGTTAATCTCAATTAGTCTCTTCTCATGGGACTTGCCTGATGCCATGCTGATAGTTAAAGCTAACTAGGATGATTAATTAATTTTTGAAGTTTCTAAATACATGATTTAGAAGAACATTCAGAAAATATTTCAGTGCATATTACCTAGTTGTCTCCCCCCCATCTTGCCTTTTTTTTTTTAAGCACTAGTGACTTCAGATATTCTGGAACACCTCTGAAATATGTTAGAGACTGTTTTGTTGGCAGTTTTAATTTTTTAAAATTATAGTTATAAAACTGTTATTTAGACTTTCAGTTTATTTTATTTTTCAGATGGTATTTTGTGTTTTGTTTTATAGGAATTAAACCATTTCAGTGTGACCGCTGTGGAAAAAAGTTCACCAGGGCGTACTCCCTAAAGATGCATCGCCTAAAGCATGAAGGTAAACGCTGTTTCCGGTGCCAGATATGTAGTGCCACTTTCACTTCCTTCGGGGAATATAAACACCATATGAGGGTTTCCCGGCACATTATCCGCAAGCCTCGGATTTATGAGTGCAAAACATGTGGCGCCATGTTCACCAACTCTGGAAATTTAATCGTGCACCTGAGGAGTCTGAACCATGAAGCATCAGAGCTAGCAAACTACTTCCAGAGCAGGTGAGGTGCAGAGGGAAAACCCAATCAGGGAAACTGCTTTCTAAACTCTCCTGCTTTAGGGCAGCCTACTGTTTTATTATCAGGTTGCCAGCTAATTAGTCACATTCATTTTCAATTGCCACTGTGCATACAGGCTCTGATCTCCTGATCTGATGAGATTTTCCTAAGTCTCCTAAGTGATAAAGTCATATGTGTTTTAAAGTCGGTATTAAAATTAGTTCCTAGAAAATAAATAGTAAAAATATTCCCACAGAAGAATATTTGTCCTCCTGGGTATTTTTTAAATGAAGTTAAATAAATTTTTTATATTGGATCTTAACTAGATCTGTCTAGCAGATATACCAAGTCAGGTGTTTCTTAGTAAAATGCAGTTCAGACTATAGCTGCTAGCAGAGTTCTTCAGCACCACCCCTCCTTCTTAATATCCTATAGAGCTGGGTGGTGGAGGTGCTGCACACCTTTAATCCCAGCACTCAGGAGGCAGAAGCAGGCAGATCTCTGAGTTGGAGGCCAGCCTGGTCCACAGAGTTGACAGTTAAGGATACACAGACAAACCCTGTCTTGAAAAAAGAAAAAAAAATAACTTAAATAAAGGAATATCCATTTATCAATAAAAAACATTGTTTGATAGTCATTACCATGGATAATGATTAGATCCTGTAAGTTCCTGTTTTTCTTAGTTAGGTGTTCTGGCTTTTAGCATTAATAATTTATTAAGGCATTATCCTTATTTATAGGGTACCTAAGTAAGTAAGGTTCTATTTCAAATATAAAAATCCTTCTAAATCTTTAAAGTTTTTAATTAAGCTTCATTTTTAAAATCAGTTCTAAATTATTCATGAATAGATCTTGTCTTTCCCTTAAGGCATTCATTTTATTTAATCACTTCTGATTCTCAATGTCTAGTTATTATCACTAAAGCTAGATTATATACTTAATAAACATAGTTGTTTAGGAATAAATTAGTCCAGTTTCGCTAATCCTATGTGTAACTCTTCCATATAGGACCCTGTATCTTATACTACTCTTGTCTTGAAGACTTTTTAGGAAATATAGCACAGACATTAGAAATTACTTTGCAGACAAACAGATTTTATTAATTCTCAATGCTCAGATTATTAAGTGGTCACCTCAAATGCATGTTATTGACAGGTGTAGCATAATATCCTCTTAAGTTCAGCAATGAAAGTTTTTTTGTTTTGTTTTTCAAGACTGGGTTTCTTTGTGTAGTTGGCTGTCCTAGACTCACTCTGTAGACCAGTCTGGCCTACAACTCACAGAGATCCCCCTGTCTCCTCTTCCCAAGTGCTGGGATTAAAAGAATACACCACCATCACCTGGCTTCTTCCCAAATTCTTATAAAAGATAATTTATTACTATTTCCATATACTGTCTACTAGTAAAATGAACACTATTTTCTCCATCTTTCAACTTCACATAGTAGAATATATGTAAGGTCATCTGTGCATAAGGACTTACCTTCTTAGATAACCTATATCCAGTTGGTAATATGGAGGTAGGTTTATGTATATCTCATACCCAGTATATGTTCCATGACAACTTAAGCATTTACATTAATCATATGATTTTTGCTTTAGTGAAATGCCCCTTAGGTTAAATACAGACTCCTGTATGTAGATTCAGAAAGGCCATTGACGCGTCAAGAGAACCACTGGAAATGGTCATTAATCCTTTTTATTGCTCATAGGGAGCTGTGATACACTTTGGTTCTACTGAATGGCTTCAGTAGTAGTCAGGAAAACTTATTTACACTTTGGTTCTACTGAATGGCTTCAGTTCATATTCAGGAAAATTTATTTACACTTTGGTTCTACTGAATGGCTTCAGTTCATATTTAGGAAAACCTACTTATTAGCAACTTCATTGAAAAATTAGTGAAATGAGAACTGCAGCTGGGAGGTAGTGGAGAATTAGTGAAATGAAAAGTCCCAGTCTTGTTTAATAGATGACATTTCTTTATTGCAATTTGAAAATTAATCTTTATTTTATCCTTTGCCTTTCATTTAGTGATTTCTTAGTGCCGGACTACTTAAACCAGGAGCAAGAAGAGACTCTTGTTCAGTATGATCTTGGAGAACACACTTTTGAAAGCAACTCTTCTGTTCAAATGCCTGTGATCTCGCAGGTCTCCTCCACCCAGAATTGTGAAAGCTCTTTCCCCTTGGGGTCTCTTGGTGGGCTTGCAGAGAAAGAGGAGGGAGTGCAAGAGCAGCCAAAGACCAGTGCTCATGCCGAGGCTCCCCGAGACGACCCCCCTAAGTCAGAGCTGTCTTCTATAACTATCGAGTAATTCTGTGATTGGCCTCAGTTTTGGTTTTTGGAAAGTGCCTGTGCTTGGTCTTAACGTTTAAATTTAATTTTTTAAACACAGAAGGTTTCCCTTTGTAAGCCCTGAAATTGGAGGGTTGCTTTGTTTTTTTCATAGCTGAGAGATTGCTTCTGTATGTATACAATTAGGTAACATTGAAACAGAACATAGACTTTGAGAATTAAGGAAAAGCAGCTGATTTCAAACGTGGTGGTTCTTCCTCCCATTGTTAAAAGTGGGTAGTAGCAGATACAGAAGAAACCAGGCTGTTGACCTTCCTGAGATGAGAGGCCTCATGGGAAGTTACTACACAGAATTTGACAATGCCTAAGTAAATGTTTACTCCTAGGTGCAGGGTGTTATAGACCCTGTAGTTTTGGAAGTATTTATGGTAATTTTTTTCCAAATGAAGGCAAATAACTTTTGAAATCCAGCATATTCTTTTTTAAGCCATTAAGGATTTTCATGGTGAAAAATTGGTATTGGGCAGGCTTTTCCTGTACCTTTATAGTACCACTCCAAAGGCTAAGCAGTGTGATTGAGAGGAGTCAGGCTGTTCATGGAATGGCCAGGGTGCAGAATGAGGTATGTATACCCCAGCTTTATAGGAATTGTTTTAATAATGTTTTTCTTACTAGAATGAATGTTTACCTGGCCTTTGAATACTGATACCTGGCTAACTAGGACATTGCCCAGATAAGTGTCCTCTTGTCCCATCAACAGTACTTTCACTTTCACTTGCATATACTATTGTGCTGCCATATAAAGAAAAATATTGAAGATATTCTATATTTTATATATAGGTTTATGTATTGTTGGGATGTTTATGCTGTGCTGTTTTGGACAAAAATAAAAGAATTCTGTTTTGAGGCTACATTCTTAACCCAATTAAGATTGTTTACAAGATCACATATGACAACAATACATTGTCCTTATTCTAAAGTATTTTGAAGTATCGCCAAGTTTGTTAAAAGTGGTTATAGTTTTCACAGGATGTAAGCAATAATGTGGAAGGCAAGAAGTTGTAAAGTGATCACCTGTGACTCAGAAACTGGAGGGGGTTGTTAAGACTAAAAACTAAAAGCTTTTGCTAGGCTACTTGTGATGAAATTTATATACTCTAGATTGGGATATGCATTTTTTTAATCTGGTGCCATTAAAGCCTCTTTGATCTGGAATATTCATGAGTTCATGAATAATGAACTTTTGAGTAATTTTTCTATATAGAAAATCACCCCAAAGTTCATCATTATGATAGCTCCTGATGGGGTTAGAAAATAGAAACAACATAGACTTTTGTTTGACTTTGGATACTTTCTTTGTGACAGGATCATATGTATCCCAGGCTGACCCAGAACTCATGATCCTCTCGCCTCAGAGTCCCCCACAGCCCTTGGTAATATTATATATTATAGACACATGTCGCCACACCCAGTTCAGACTTTAGTTCCTTTAGTCAAACACATGATCTGAATTTTATTCCAATGCCAGACCTTACTTCTTTTTACATTATAGTAACTTGTTTCTTTAAAATTTATTAATTCTATAATTTAATTTCTCTCTTTGTCCATGTTCTGCTACCTTCTATGATTTTCTTCTTAATATTGAGATGTGAACCCAGAGCCTTATACATTAGGAGGACATGAATCTTCATTGAGATACAACCCTAGCCTTTATTTTCACTTTTTCGTCTGACTGATGAACTTACTTGTTCCCAAACATAGGTGTATGACTTTCAGAAAAATCAACTAGAAATGTCACAATTTTTATTTTACTGTCATATATGATCTTTAAAACTGTGCCTACTAATAAATAAATTCTAAAACTTGTTAGAATCCTCTTTTAGTATGGTAAAGACTAGGTTAAATTATGATCAGGAATTATGTTTTTGGTTTCAAGTTTTGTTTGGTTAAGAGTCAGAAAAAAAAGAAAAGAAAGAAATAATCAGAGATGAACTGTTAAAAGAATTCTTTTTGGATTTCTTGATTGAAAGTGTTTCAGTCTACCCTATCCTGAGAATTCTTGAGTTAGGACATCCCTGGTAGCCCCCTGTGAAGGACACTCCTCACTCTGGGAATGAGAGATTTGAATATACCTTGAAAATACATATGGTTAGTTGCCTTTTTCTTTTCCAATGAGACTCCACATTTTTGAGGACATTTTGTTTATGGGTCTGTTATAGGAAACACAACTGCAAGAGATAACTGTATATAGAAACATTTAAGGTTTATTTGAAGTTGATTTGAGAGAGGAATGCCTAGATGTATACTTTTCACCAGAATATATGGAAGACATGTGAAGAGATGAAAGCCAGTCTATGATCCCTTCTATAGAAGGTAACTAAAAAGAAAGGCATACTTGTTTAGAATTTTTAAGGGTAACTATCTTTTGTAAGGCCTAAGAGGGTAACTTTGTGATATTTAAAGGGCTTAAGTTTTGGAATGCAGGATAAATTACTTTTTAAAAAAGCTAAGCATTTTATACAAGAAAAGCTTTTGTTTTCAGGTTTTTCCCAGCTACCAAATAGATAGGATGTGCTTTAGAAATAAGGTTCTTGCCATGATGTTAGGTCTAATTCTTCTTGTCACACTTTGCATTTCCAAATTCTGGCCTTGGTAGCATCATGCCAGTTTTTGTTCTGATGCAAAGACAAAGTTGACAATGGCTTTTACTTTCTGTATTTTAATTTTCAAGAAATGGATGTAGACAAATGTTGCTATCCACAAATGGATTTCAATGAATTTCTCTTAATTGGCCATTTTAAATAATGCCAATTTTTTATTTCAGTTAATTACAGTTCATTTTATTGCTAGGTTTTGATTTGGAGGAGTGGGGTTTCTTTTTTGTTTCGGTGTTTGGTTTTAAGTTCACAATTTTGTTAAAACAAAATGACCTAAAATGTTTAAATGGCCTCATTTGTGTCTTATGGTTGAACATTCTTACTCCCTTAAATAGGTTCCATGTTAAGGTACATGCCATGTGTTATTAAAGACCAACAAACAAAAAATACTTGTATTTTGTTAAAATGTTTTAAGAAATAAGAGTGAAGTAGTCAATGCCTCTGATGCGCTGAGTTACTGGTAACCCAGTTACTTTCTAAACTGCTGAGCCAGGCTCTCCTGTTCTAGAAGCTGATCCTATTCCTTTGGAAGCTAAATTAAGTCTTTCATTCCTTTAAAAAACAAAAACAAATCATCTCCTGTTTTATTCTTTTAATCTAACAGGAACCGCTTCAGCACTTAGTGACTTTTGTGTAGGTTTTCAGACTGTGATTTTAGTCTGTTAGCTTTGAATTTCCTATAAGGTACATTGCCATACAGGGTTATGGTAGATGGCAATACTCTACTAGTATCACAGAGAATTGTTTCTTACCATGAGTGAACAGTCCTGATACTGTACTGAAGAGATTTTGATTTGAGAAAGTAATGAACAGGCAGATTGGAAACTTCCATTGGCACTGCATCACTCATCTGCAAAAAGGGCCGTAAAACTCTGAAGTATACATCTAAGTGAAGGAATGATTTATGATTTCTTAACTATAGGCAGGGGAAGGAATTAGGAAAGCTTGAATACAGAGCAAAAGGTACAGGAGGAAAATGAGTTTTCACGGTAAGTTGTTGACATCAGATGGTTTTTTTGTATTTTGATAGTTACTAAGAGAATGTGTAGAAGCCAAAAGGCAGTGGAACAAAGCTAAGGGAACGGATAGACTGGATCATGGTAACATAACTCTGGAATATTTATAACTAAACACGGGTTTTAAATAAGATCATCAAAATTAATATTCCTTATTTTGCTTATACTAGTATTTATCTCTAAGTGTCTTTTTTGACAGAATGTGGTGACATGAAATTTTTTTATTTGAAAAATACTCTGCAAAACAAATTTGCCAAAATGGCAATGGTTCAGATAAACAGTGAAGTGGAACTGAGCCAGTCCTCATTCAAACTGGAAATAGGTGAGGGGTGTCTCATTCTGGATTATACGTAGATTAAGATATTTGCTGTGACCCAGAAAAGTTGAACTGTGTTGAACAGGGGATAGTACCAGCTGCCACCAGGAGTTACACTTTTTATCTATTAATTTACACTAAGTTGATAAGTTAGGTGTTTCCCCTATAGCATAATTCTGTTTTTGGAAATAGTCACTGTAGAAATTTCAGTGCATTGGAACCTTGGCTTTGGCAGTGTCTGAGCAGCAAATGCTACTTCACGTGTTTTCTGCTCCCTCCGAGGTAAGACCCAGGCCAGTGCCAGCGAGCCCCAGGCTTCTTGTGCACAAAACAGTCTACAAAGAACTTAGTTCAGATCATGGTTAAAAACGTTAAAATTAATATTTTTGTTAATTAAAAGTTAAAATACAGTTAAATGACTTTATTTTAGTTTGAAGTGCCTAGTTTATAAAGTCAAATGCTTTCTTTCTCTTGTAAGTTAACCAGCTTTGCTAAGCCTAAAGCTCAGTTGTGATGACCTTACTAGACTCCTTGTTTTCTCAAATACCAGTCTGATCATACCTAGAGCTTGGAAGGGTCAGTGAACGGTGGTTACGTTACCAGGTTCCATCACCTGCTGAGGAGTTGGCCTCCCTAGCTAGGGGAAGTGTTTTGTGTCTTCAGGATGGGGAAGCTCTTTTTGTAGTCCTCGTTTCCAGAGAGGGCCTTTTCTGTGATTAGTGTGGGAGTGCACTTTCTCCAATCATTTCATTTTAGGTAGCAGTTTTCAAGTTAACAGATGTCATGGAAAATTTCATACTGAGAGTGCATTGCAGTTTTGAAAGTTGTGCTGCTTTTCTGCTCCCTGGAGTGAGAGCATCCATCGGGTATTTAGAAGTGAGATCATAAACTTGGTTGTTTTGCTTATACAAAATGATAGCTTCTGATGCTTATAGTTGAAGATATTGTTTAAAGAAACAGCAGTTGCTGATGGGTAAAATTTGGTTTTGACCCAAGTTCCAGTGATGTATTTAGTTTGCTGATACTGGTGTCTCCTGTTGCATCAGCTAGATTTTGCCTGCCTTTGTTAGGCACCCTTGTGGCACCTTGTGTTCACCTTGGAGGATGGTATGTGGCCTCTTGATGCCTCTACTGTCTTTTCAAAGCCATTTTATAAAAATCTTAGGTAGCCTATTTTAATATTTAAATATATATATTTGTGAAAGATACTTTTAGAACAGACTTTTTTTTAACATTAAAATTCCTGTATTCCCATTTTTAAGAGTAAACTAAAGCTTTTCCAGGCTTAGGAAGTATCTTTTCAGAACCATAATAAGAAAGTCAAATAGATTGAAGTAATGAACTGGAGAGTTCAATGGTAGGGGAAAAAGATGTTGGTTGAGGGGAGACAGTTTTAAAGGTGGAAACAATTGCTTTGATGTAACAAATTTTTAAAATAAAATTATGGTTTTATTTCTGTAATTTCATATTTGCTGCTACAGTAGCTCACTATTTTACAGGGCTAATATAGAAATCTGGCCCCATTTAAAAACTGGGGTCCTTTCTAATGCAGGCAGCCTAGAGAGAGACTGCATCAGTCTGCCAGACGGTGACCGAGCGTTCCGTGAGGCTGCTGCATGCTTTAATATTTGCCTGTAGCTGGCAGCACAGGTCAGGGAAGCTTCCTACCCTGCCAGCTAGAGCAGCGTGACCCTTGAGGAACTGGCATCTGTGAAACAGGCCAGAGAGGGGACTTGTGCAGAAACGCTGGTTCGGTCAGGTGGATGGGCGTCTCCATGTCCTCTTCCCTCTCCTAGGACAGCACGACTCTCCACGGTGCCAGTCCCAGTTCACCAGCCGTGTACCAGCCGTCGTCATCTCATCAAGTGTAGCTTTACTTGGTGACAGTGGCCATAGCTAAACTACTTGGCATGTTTGACTTCCTATAATATCAAAATGGTCTTAAATTTTGTTTTGTTTGATTTCCTTAAAAAATGTATACGGTGTCATAACTTCACATTTTATATACTAGTATCTGGCTATTAGTATTTTACAGAAACCATGGTCCTTGGTAACTACATATATATATATATATATATATTTTTGTGACTTTTGTAAACTAAGTGCCGTTTCAATGTTACAATCATTTTTAGAGTTATTGTAATCAATGTGAATATCATGTCTTTTCAAATCTGTTCTGAGCCTAGTGTTTGCTTTGTGACATAATGTGTATTGTATATATTCTGTATAGTTAATACTGTACTGAAATTAGCTTGTTTGATATGAGAAAAGTATGTATTGAGTACCTTTTTGCTAGCCTGATTGCTTAATCTTTTTTTAAAAAGATTTAAACTTTTGTTTTTTAAATCTTTAAACTGACCTTTATTACGTGGTCACAAATAAGTTACAGTTAGAAGGGATGGACAGGGATAAAGTTAGTCTTGAGTGTCTTTGGATAGAAACATGAGACTAAGATTTGTTTTTGTTTTTCCTCATTAAAATATCTTACTGGTGTTTTATGAAATATGTTTTCCTGCTGTTGTCATTGACTGTTGACTAGAAGGAGGAGCTGGTTATTGAGTGTGTGCAGACTGAAGACTATTATACTGAACAGCATTGTCAGTGCATCTAAGTGTAGATCCTGTCACAGCATGCCCAGGCCAGGCAGGGAACATAAAGAAGGCAGTTGGGGAAGCCATCAGGTCTGGGCTAGGAGCCAGGTTCCTGGATAATGCTACTTGCTGGATGGTGGGTTGCCTCTGGATTTTTTGTTTGTTTGTTTTGATTTTTTCCTGAAATTATTTCCTATTTAATACCGATTAGGCAGAAACACATTGCTGCCATTTCAGTGATAACTGACAAACAGATCAAAACAAATGGGAAAGCAGCCCAGTGCAGAAGTAGTAGTGTGCCTGTACGTGCGAGAGGAGCCTCCCACGAAATGACTGCCCGCACTCAGTCAGCCAGGGTCGTCTTAGTCACTTTAGTCAGAGACAAAGGCAGAGTTTAAGAAGTACATTGGTAGTGGGCATCTATAACAAGTTATCAAACATCTAAAGTCTGCCTTATCCTTTATGGTTCAGGATACCAAGGAACCAGGATAGGGCAAAGATAAAATTCAAGATGATTTTATCTTGCAGTGTTCTTGAATGGAAAGATTCAAAGAATGATACTAAAAACAATAACCAAAGATAATGCTTTCTAAATTGGTTAGAATTAAAATTCTCTCTTATGAACAAGAAAGTTAGTTCTAAGAAATAAACAGAAAGTTAGCAAATTATACTAAACATTAAAGGATGGGAGGTGTGCATGTAATTTTTTTATATCAAAAAGTTTTACAGCTGTAAAACAGAGATAGGTGTGTTTAATCCCCTCCTTTCCCTCCCCTCCCTCCCTCCCGCAGACTGCTTGCTCTGACCCCAGTTGGAACACTCCTAGATGAGAAGACTTGCTGTTGCTGACAGTTCTGTTCCGATCAGTGTACTTGAATTTTCCTGCCCCCACCAAGGAAAATGAAGTGTTTGTACTTCCTAAATGGGGAGCAGACCATCACAAAGCTGAGCAGAGTTGGCAGAACTTTTACACTGGACCCCCATTTGTCAGTCTCCACCTAATTTTTCCCACGACCATGTCTTTAGCTGTGTCTTTAGCCATACAAATTTATTAACGGTGTTCAGTAGGCTCCAAGACAACACTTCGTTCTGTCGATAGGAGAAATTTTTAAAAAGCAACAGACCCTTCTCTGCTACCTTTGGAGTTTCTCTGTTTCTTTGTGAAAGCATTGAGTTCCTTTTCCAGCTGTCTCAGACTTGACTGTGCCACCTTTGCAACATGACATGGTGCCTTTGGCTCTCTACCCAGACCCCATCCTGAGTCCTTTTGCTGGTTTTATTGGAAGTCACTTACTGAATTAGTTAAGTCTCATTTACCAGAGAACCTGAAGCCCTGGGCAGGATCAATACTCACCCCACCCCATGGCATGCACAGCTAGTATGTGACCAGCCTCAAGTGACAATCTTGATTCTTGCCATCTAAAGATCATTCATTAGAAAAGTTGCTATAGACCACGAGCAAATAAAGATTCCCAGATTCTGGTTTAAATTGGGGGCCAAGGCAGAAATGCTGTCTTTAGTGATGCGTGTGTGTATACATACATACTCACTGCAGCATAGACTGGCCATTAATTGTCTTGGCCTGGTCAGAGGCAGCTCAAACTTTGTACAATCCTGTGTCAGCAGTTTTCCCACTGCTTCCTCAGACATCACAGTCTGAGCCCTCGTCAAGGGAGCCTCCTGCTCTCGGGTGGGACTTCCCCTTTAACATAACATTCTGTGTTTTCATTGACAACTGTCGTATTCACGCACGGGTTGCAGGCCCTTGGCTGACTGAATGGATGAATCCTCCATCTTTTGGAGGCAATGGCTTCGGAAGTAAAATTTTTAAAAAGACTGAGACTAGAGGACACCAAAAAGGGCTGGAAATGGAGGAACACCCTGACCTGACTGACAGGAAAAGCATGGAAGGAAGCGGCACTTGAGTGGGCTCTTGAGAAAGGGTTTGTGTAGACAGTGAAGGAGAGTGCTTCAGGTACAGGGCTGGGGGAGAGCAAGATAATATGCCTGACTTTGTGGCATTCGTGGGAGGAGTCGAGGATTGTCTTCAGAGCTCCTGCCCAGAACCTAGAAGGGTCGGGAGGAGTTCAACACTGACCTGCGGGTTTGGTCTTTTTGGTTTTTTGTTTGTTTGAGGCAATGTTTCAAAAGAAAAGGAACTGTATTTGGTAGAAAAACTGATCAAGTTAACTGAGGAGGAGGCCAGGGCTCTGCTCTCTAGAAAGATTTGGAACAAGATTTGAGAGAACACAGGCTTCACAGAGTCCCTCAAAGTTCAAGGTAGAGCCCAAGAGAAGGTAAGAGTAGAGCTGCCAGAGAAGCATCAGGCTAGGGGGTTGTCTAGAAAGTGGACTTGAGCCGAAGCGCAAGACTTGGCTCCCAACAGTGGGGAACCCGCTATATGCATTCCACACCCATGGCCTGCTCACTGCTCAGGTAACCTGGCCTTGGTTTTGAAGGGAAGGCCGAAATAAAGCAAAGGAAGAAGGAAACTGCGAGAGGACCACTGCACACTTAGACTTGACCTGATGTCAGAGCCCCTGGTGTGGTCCCCATCACTGCGGTCAAAGGATGAGCTTGTGCCCAGCTGAGGAAAGTCCCCCTTTAGAATGGTCATACGATAGTTAGCTTGTTGTTAACGTACTTGCCTTCTGGCAAAATTCATCTCACCAAGTTCGTGAGATTGAGTATTCCAGACATTCTCTGACTTGTAAGTCATCAGTTCATAAGCATTGGACAACTCCAAAACCCGGTGTGGTGGTGTTGGGGCATGCTGGAGTTGTCCTGGGAGGGTGGGCCAGAGCTAGCAGAGATGGGGGGGAAAGAAATATGTAAGTTAGCATGTGCTGAAGGAGAGAGATGGAATATGTAGGTTAGCATGTGCTGAAGGAAAATATCTTGGTAGGCTGAGTGAGGTCAGGTGACGAAAAATGAGTTAAGCCCCGAAGGAGAAGTGCTACAAGCATAGGGAACCATGCCAATGACATGGTTCTCTCTCTCTCTCTCTCTCTCTCTCTCTCTCTCTCTCTCTCTCTCTCTCTCTCTCTCTCTCTCTCTCTCTCTCTCACTCTCCTCACCCAGCACCCAATTTTAATCTATTACCAGGAAGGTGCACTACTATCCAGAAAAGCTAAAAGCAGAGATTGCTGTGAAACAGAATGACAATGGGATTTGCTCTGCAGCTCAATGCATGTCTTCCTGCACATATTCAGAGGCCTGTTCTCCCTAGAACAAGCCACTAAGCAGGCTCACTCAGACACTCGGTGTTACAGGTCTAGTTTTTGGAAGAGCTGAGCCTTGTTCTCAATATCTTTTTAAACAGCATTAAAATGTCATTTAAAATACTCCGCAGGCTACAACGTGCTCAGTTATAGAGTAGCATCCTCAGAGTGAGACTTCTGCAGTCAAACACATTCCTTGGTTCAGAACTGATGGCTAGGTAAGCCACTCACTGCTAGTCTTAAAATATACATACATGCATACCTCTCGAGCCTGCGCGCCCCTCAACCAGGGAAGCAGCTTTGTAAAGACCTAGGGAGGACTGAGGTTTAAGCAGGAAGCTGTGTATAAGTTGAACACTGTTCCTAGTACCCACCCATGCTACACTTGTAAATAGTTTCTCAAGAGCTGCCTGCTGTGGGAATCCCCTAATCACATCTTCGTGCGCATCCATGTGTCCATATAACATTTCTCTCTGTGGCAAGTGGGCAGAGCTGAGGAAGAAGGATCTCCCTAATTGGGGCCTCCGGAGACCTTGAAGTACTGTTCAACTATTTTTAGACCCATGCAAGGCCCCTCACCCAGGTCTGACTGATAGACAACACTACCACAGCCCTGGACTGAAAGCCTCATAAGATCAGCCCAGCCCTAGTGAGTCCCACCCTTCCTTGCTCCGGATTCTCCATGCTGTCACCGCAGCACCCTTTCCAGTCATGTTCCCACTTTCCGCTCTGTTCCCACATGAGTTCAGGGTTCCCCAGTGTGTGTATGCTCCCACCAGCACCCTGGGCCCAGTTCTCGCCCCAGCTTCTAGTGTGTGCTGTGGGTGCTGCAGTTCCTCCCATTGGTGGCCAGGAGACGAGCAAGGCAAGCAGCTCTTCTGTACCCGCTGGGCAGAGGAAACCAGCACAGCTCAATCCTGACAGCTCTGGGATCCTGGGGCATGGCCTTCTGCCTGGTACCTGCAGAAGCCAGAAGAGGCACTGGAATTACAGATGGTTGTGAGCTGTCATGTGGGTACTGGGAATAGAACTGGAGTCTTCTGGAAGAGCAGCCAATGCTCTTAACTACTGAGCCATCTCTTTGGCCCTTAATTAACATGCTAGTTGCACAAAACAATGACTGGCTATAACATTCATACATGAATATACCATGCTTTGTTCATTGTCATAATTTCTCGTTCTCCCATTTTCTCACCTCCATACGTCCCTCTCCCTGGCCCCTAATAGTCTCTGTTTTCAGGTCATCTTCCTTTTTGTTTTTTCGTGTAAAGATATGTCCTTTTAATTTAAAGTATGTCCTGGCTCCAGCTCTGATTGGTTGATTGCCATGCTGAGGATAGAACCCAGAGCCTCCAGCATGCTGGAGGGCATTACCACTGAGATAGCTAGTCCAGATTCCAATACTTGTCTTTCTGCGGAGGAGTTACCTTACCCCATATTATACCCATCCCTTTTCTTGTAAATAACAGGACCCCATTCTTTATGGCTGAATAATGCCCCATTGTGTATGTGTATATAAACTATTTTGTCTTTATCCATTCATCTGTAGATAGCACTCAAGCTGATTTTATGACTTGACTGCTATGAGTAATACTGCAGTCAACATGGGAGTACAGGCATCTATATTTGGGCTGACTGGATTCCTCTGGATGTTCCCAGAAGTGGTATAGCTGGATCTTAGGGTAGTTCAT